AGGTGTGGGGAAGCTAAGTAGTGTGTGGACTCTGCCCAGCACATTGCAAAGAATGGGCTTGCCCACTGAGCAGTGGATACGCTTTTGCAAAGCGCTCTAGATTGGGAGCGGCTCATCCGTCATCTGCCCTTTGTTCAAGAACTGCCTTGGCAGCAGGCTCCTGCTCCACCCTGCCTCCCACCTTCATCTTAGGATGTGCTCATTCCGGAGGTATCCTCACTCTCAGCCCTGGCATCCTCATTTCCAGAACCTTCTCTAGAAGGGGGTTCAGCCATAGAACCCCCTGCTATGGCTACTCTGGGGCATCTCCATGATCTGCAATGACTCTACCTTCAAAGGACTTTTGACCGCAACCTCCTGCCTCTCCAGCTTGCTGGTGTGGTTGCCTCAGTGTGACCTTGCTGGCCCAGCAGGACTCCTCCTCTCCTGGACCTCTCCCCTCTCCTGTGCTCATTTCCTTCCCTGTATTTAGCGTGGGGCCCATAATTTCAAGCAATCTCTTGCCAATAGTCACTTTCAAACTTGGACCACAGCCTACCTGGGAACCTAGGACTCATTTGCATGTGCATTTACATACACACATACACATATGCGTACACTTCCAAGTATAAACAATCCAAAATCTCTCCCTAAACATCACTTCTTAACAACCATTGCCCCACGTCTCTCCTCTTCATCAGGGTGTTGCAACAGTCATTTGTATAAGCTGTTCGCTTCCTGTGACTATTGTAACAAATTACCATGATCTTAGTGGCGTAAGTCAGCACAAGTTTAATCGTACTGTATGAGGTCAGAAGTGTAAAATGAAGGTGTTGGCCAGGCTGCTTCAGTCGGAGGCTCCAGGAAATCTCTTCCTTTGCCTTTTCCGCCTACTCTCTTGGGTCCAGGCTGTGTCACACCTGATTCCATGTGACATATCCTTTTTTTTGACCCTTGTGCTTCCTTCATTTTGAGAACCCTTGTGATTACCTTGGACCCTCCCAGATAATCCAGGGTAATCTCTCCCTCTCAGGATCCTTGGCTTAATCATATCTACAGAGTCCCTTGTACAATGTAAGGTAACCTAATCCCAGGTCCTAGGGGTTAAGAAATGTGGACATCTTTGGAGCCATTTCTCTGCCTATCATGTGGGCCATTTGATTTTCCCAACCTTCACTTACTTTTCAGCCTTTGCTAAACAGGTTCCCCGCACTCACCTCCACCGTCGCAAATGGCTTCAGCCTGTTCCCTCATGTCCTCCACGTTGCCTAAATCAATGGGTAGTTGTAAATGTCTTCCCTGACAAACAGAAGATGGTGAAGGAAGGAACCTTGTAGGACCATGAGTGTGTGGGACCATGGCTGGTCCTTGTGAGAGAGATTCCGGCTGTCACTCTGACTTCCTGTGTTCTTGTGTGAGTGCGGTTGGCTGCAGAGGGGTTCAGTGCCCCCCTTGCTCTGTAAACCCTCCAAGGCTCCACGGTGTCTCAGTTCATATTATTAGTTTAAAATCGCTGGCCAGATAACTACAGATGAATTTTTTTAAACAAACCCTTTCATTTACCTACCTTCAAATAAAAGTGTGTAAATCCTGGATAGCAGGGTGAACTTTCACCCAGTCCAGCCTTTGTGTACCAGTCAGACCAAGAACCAAGCATTGCCAGCTCCCCTGGACCCGCTCAGCCCCTCCCCACTGCTGAACCCTGTCCGCAGTTCTGCCCTGGGGGGCATAGGGATCTTTTTAGTTTGTTTTTCATTTCAAACAGACTTTATTTTTTTAAAGAAGCATTAGGTTCATAGCAAAACTGAACAGGAAGTAGTTTCCCTGTACCTGCCTCCCTACACGGGCTCTTCTGCAATAAAGATCCAACTGGAGTGTCTGTTACAACTGATGGACATGGACCTCTACAGACACATCTTTGCCACCCGGCATCCATAGCTTACACTAGAGTTCACTCTTGATGTTGTACATGCTAAAAGTTTGGACAATGGAAATGGCATGTATGCACCATTGCATGTCATATACACTCATCTCACTGACCTCAATCTCCTGTGCGCTACACACTCACCCTCCTTCCCCACTCACTCCTGTCAGCCTCCGATGGTTTTTTAACCGTCTCCATGGTTTTGTCTTTCCCAGAATGTCACAGGGCTGGACATACAGTACATGGTATGTAGGCTTTTCAGACTGGCTTCTTCCATTTCATAATATTAATTTAAATTTCCTCCGTGTCTTTTGGTGGCTTGATAGTTCATTTTATTTTGACACCGACTCTTATCCACAGTCTGGATGTGGGCAAAGATTTTGAAGAAGGCATTGAACTAAATTTAGTGCAAGTTTTATTGCTAATGTATCTTCTTTGTACTGCATAGGGTTAGGACTGAGGTGGGGGCTCCCCTCTGCCTCAGAGCACAAAAGGCCCAAATGAGCTCAAACTCGTTAGTTCTGCACATTGAGTCATTGAGGTTCTGCCCTCAGAATTCCATTTTCAGAGTGAGAATATGGTATGTTATGTTATGGTTTGGTATGGTATGGTATGGTATGGTATAGTATGGTATGGTATGGTATGGTATGGTATGGTATGGTATGGTGGGTATGGTATGGTATGGTGTAGTATGGTATGGTATGGTATGGTATGGTACAGTATGGTGGGTATGGTATGGTGGGTATGGTATGGTGGGTATGGTATGGGGCCACTGCACGACACACACGTGTTTTGATTCAGATGGTTCCACAGAGGTCAAGTTCTGTTTAGATTGGCTAGACTATGTGACAAACAGAGTGAAGAAAGATAATGGCCCAACACAGTCAAAGCTTCTTTGTCACCCATTTCACAGTCTGTGGAATGTGGAGCAAGGTCCCTCCTGCCTTGTGGCTCCATAGCCCCCGGAGTCTTGTCGTTTCTTTCATGTAGCTGGATAACACACAATTCCGTTGGAAAGACCATGAATTTTAAGCCAAAGTCATGCTCTTAGAATCACCTGAGTATGGTAGCCAGCTGGTCACTCATCATGGTCCTGGGAATGATACAGTCATGGACAAGAAGCTTTTGATAAGAAGTCTGAAGAGAGAGAACTAAGTGGTGGGCTCACAGTCTTGGGTGTTGGCCTAGAGGTAGCATCATTGTGACCCTAGGTCCCTGGAAGCAGCATGTGGCTCATAGTGAGGTGCTGAGATCCCACAAAGGAGGCTGGAATGGCCAGTATCCTTCACCTTGTCAGGGTCCACCTGGGTACCCTTCAGGGAGACCCTGGCCCAGGGCTCAGGACCTTGGAGGGCCTCAGCGTGGCTTCTGATGTGTCTGGCCAGGTGCCCCATGATGGTGATGTTGGCTGTTTGTGCCGGACTCAGACACACTGGTGCCTAGTGCCCCTTAGGGTTAGGGTTAGGGTTAGGGTTAGACTTTGCTCCTCCAAGGGGATTCACTCGGGGTAGTTGAATTTGTGGTCCTTCTCATGATGGTTTTCTTTCTTTTTTTTATTTGTACCTTATAGCTGTACATACTGGTGGGATTTTTTAAGGTTTCAGGGTGGAAATAAAAGTTTAGAGGGAGCGCAAGGCCTGGGTTAAGTGTGCTTGTAGGTGTTCGCAGCCCTCTTCAGAACATTCTAGATGGGTGAATGGGATGACCCTAGGCCAGACTATGTCCATCCCTTTGACTGTGAGTTTCCAGGAAGTTCAGGGAACGGATTTGGCCAGAAATCACATTCCTGGGAGGATTTTGAAACCTGAATGGAGCAACGTAAGCAGGGGTCATCGATGTGGGAACCGGGCGTTCTGAAGCTGTCCTTCACTCCTCCCTCTCAGAGGCCGAGGGCTGCCAACTGCATCTCCCACACACCTCACCAGAAAGTCCCTGGCTCTGCTCCCAGCAGCCTGGCTGTCGACCTCGTGAGGTGTGAGAAGGAGGAAGGGAATCTCCATTTTGGATAAACCTTCCTTCCTCCTTTCTGAGAAGTGGTGCAGGGCCTGTGCTGGCCAGCTATGGTCAGGGCTCCCCAGAGTTCCTGCCCAGGACAGCTCCTCCAACTTGCCCGAGAAGTAGCTGAGGAGGCCCAGACAGGGAGCCCATCTTAGTTTCCTCTGACTGCTGCAGTAAATTGGCCAAACACATCAGAAACTCATTCTCCCCACATTTTGGAGGCCAGAAGTCTGGAGTCCAGGCGTCAGCAGGGCCACGCTCTCTCCTAAGGCTCCAGGGAATACTCCTTCCTTGCCTCTCCCGGCTTCCCGTGGTGGCCCGCAATCCTTGGCCTCCCTTGGCTTGTAGATGTCCCTTCAGTTTTGACTCAGCTGTCTTCTGTGTTTCTTCTCCTCTTATAAGGACATGTGGTAGTAAGGGACCTCCTTACCCCAGTATGACCTCATTTTAACTAATTATGTCTGTAGTGACCCTATTTCCAAATGAGGTCACGTTCCGAGGTTCCTGGAGAACATATGCCTTCAGGGGACCATATTCAACCCACAGCAAACCCCACCATCCTTTCCCCCTCTGTCCTCCCACACTCTTCCCAGCATGCCCTACACAGTGCAGGGGGCCACCTGGCTTTCCTCTCCAACAGGGGTGGGGACAGGCCCTGGAGAAGTTTCCCAAAGTGAAACTGCATCCCCTCACTCCAGCAAGGCCTGGGAGAGCACAGAGTGCTGGTCTCCCTCAGGACAGGCATCCACAGGCTGGGGGACTCCCCCTCAGCATGTTTTCCTCCTTTATAGAGGTACTTCCAGACTCCTTGGCTCCTGGCCAGTCCCCTCTGCTTCCTGAGGGGAGGGAGCCCTCAGAGCCTCACAGTGGGCCATCCCAGACCACGGTTTCTGGCCCAGATGAAAACTGCCATCTGCTCCTGGAACTCCAACTTGGCCACATCCGGTGGCTTCTCTACTGGAGCAGCTATGGCGGCTGCACCCCACATCTTCCTGACTGAGCAGCCCCTTCCCTGGGAGAACCAATGTCTTCCTGCTCCAAAACTATGAAGGAGTGGTGGGTTCCTGGGCCTCTTATAACCCCGCTAAATATTTTCCAGGTTACCTAACCAAACTCCTGCAAAACCACACCGCCTATGCCTGTGACGGGGACCACTTGAATCTGCGGTGCCCTCGGCATTCTACAATAAGTGTCCAATCGGCATTTTATGGGCAAGATTACCAAATGTGTAGTTCCCAGCAGCCTGCCTCCCAGAGGGAAGACAGCTTAAACTGTGTGGCACCCACCACCTTGCAGGTATTACCTTTTGTAGATGTGTTAAGATGATAAAATGATTTCAGCTCTCTCTCTTTCTCTCTCTGTCTCTCAGTCTCTTTCTCTGTCTCTCCCTGAATATGTATTTGTGAAGCAAATCCAGTCCTTGAAAATCTCAATTTGTACAAGTCACCTATTTTGCAGGTGAGCTATTATTTGCTTCTCAAAGGCCTTTACCAGAGTCCAAATAATCCCTACCTATTGAAGAGCTCCCTTAGTACATTTGCAATATGAATTTATTCATAGGCATCTTCCTTATTGCACAGTTGGGCTTCAACCACTGGGTCCACATCCCCCACAAATACCAAAGTAGAAAAGGAATTCTTTGGTGGAAACCATGAGTGTTTCTGTGAAGCAGATGTATAATTTCACAATCAACTTCTTAGAGAATGACACGAGGAAGAGGAATATCAAAAACTATGGCTTGCTTCTCCACAAGATAATCACATTATTCTTGTTATTCTCTGGAGCTATATTGAGCAGCCTCTGCTGAATTATTTTTTCTTCTAGATAGAACCAGGAATTGGGGGAGGGAACTCTAAGTCATTCCCATTTTTTTTTTGGGGGGGGGTATATTTGAGGAAAGATGGTGTAGAGGGAGGGCAAACTAATATTCACTAATGGTTTTAGACTACCCATGGTTTTCAGTTACCCAAGCGACTTCCATACACTAATCCTGGCATTTTAAGTAGTTGGTCAAGATTATGGAGACACTTGGCCTGGGATTTTTTTTAGACTCCCAAGTTCCAGATGAATACACTGAAAGCTGGGTGTTTAGGTTAGGTGGAAAGTTAGAAGCAGTTTGATTTTGTCAGCCATAGAAAACAAAGATAAAGATAAATTTACTGAGATAACTAAAGAGAAGGAGAATGACCTTCAATGCTATGTCCCTCTTCCTAGGGCCCAAAGAGGAGAGGCAGAAGTATTATGATGAGATGGAGGTTCTTCTGTTTCACACACATTTATCGCTCTCATTCCAAGAATCTTGGTGTCCAGGCAGTCACGTGGTTGGTGAAAATATTAACCCGGGGCCAGAAAGAATGGGTTTGAATGACTTCCCTTGACGTGGCTTCCACACTCTGATGAGTGACAACATGTTTCTATGGAGGCGAGCAGTTAGTTTCCTGGTTTGCCCAACCTACCCTAATTCTCCCCTCAGGGGTCCCGTATCCCCGTTGACCTGCTCCCATTGCTCTGCCCACCTAGCCCTGGTGTCCAGCTGTCTGCTGCCCTCTTAGGTGCATAAAAAGTACTTTGGCCAGTGCCCAAAGGCCGGAAGTGCCTCCTTTGAGAAAGTATGAACTCCTGGCAGGCGGGAGCACCTGCCTCAGCCAGGGGCCCCTGAGGGAAGAGGATGTTCCATTAGGCTGACAAGTTAGTATTTGTGAACACTCTTCTGATGCTGTTCGGAGGCTCGTTTGCCAGAAGCATCCCTGTGCCCTGCTCTTTTATCCAGAGATCAAGAGATCCTTTCCTTTGTGACTTTTAAGCTTAGCTGGGAACAGAGACAAGGTGCTTCCTCCAAGAGAGTTTGCTTATGGCAGAGAGAGAGGGGACAGGTTGACATCCACTCAGGTGACCACGACTGACCCAACCCAAGACTAATGTCAACAGGAAGTCCCCTCTCTGTGTTTTCCAGCTTGGACACAGCTTGTCTTCAAGGCGCCGTCCTGTGACATCTGAGTCACTTATGGTGACCCTTGACCAGGCCAACATGCATCTTCCTCTAAGAGCAACACCTCCTGGGGAGTTGGGGGCTTCCCTGGGCATCTTTCTGTTGATAGGTCCACACCTGCTGGGCCCATGAGGTGACAGGTGACACCTAGTAGAGCCAGCATCCTTCAAGTCCTCAAGTCTAGGACCTCTGAGTTTAATCACAGACAGGGTTTGTTCCTTTTGGAAACCAGGAACTGGAAAAATAGCAGTAAAACACTGGAACTTTCTATGGCCCAGGGTCAGGTGTTCCATTAGCTTCCACAGAGCAGATTCATGATCAAATGAGGGAGTTGCCTAGAAAAAAATGGAAAACCAGGAGAGAGAGAGAGAGAGAGAGAGAGAGAGAGAGAGAGAGAGATATGAAGGAAAGCTTAAGGGTAAATACTCAGCACAGTGCCTGAGTGTCCCACTGAGTAAATTGCTCCACAAGGGAGACATGGGCTCTATACCCTTGAGTTTGATCATGGTAGGAATTAGCGGTAATTTTCCCTTGTTGGTCTCTTGCTGGGTCATGAGCTGGAAAGACTTGGGGTGTCTGGGGCCTGTCCCACTGACCAGCTATCCCCGCCTGGGCCACTGTAGAGCTTCTTCTAAGGGGAGGAGCTGTATGGATGATTCCTGGTCATCATTGCTATTTGACACTTGATATTGCCCATGTCCCCTGGAGCCTCCGGAAGTCAGCACTTTTGCCAAAGGAATCAGCCAGAGCATCAGCTGGAGCTGGTTGGGTGTCGGTCCTAAGATGATGGGTCCTGGCTCTGCTGAATCGGGTCTCTTCCTTCGGGAAGGAGCAGGGAGCCAGCGCCCTCACCGACATGTGGGTGCTTCTGTCCTGAACACAGCTAGGCTAGGTGGGGAGGCTTCCCCGCTCCTCAGAGCCCGGAGCAGCACAGGTGTGGGGGCTGGCGGACACGGTGTGCGTTCACAAGCCTGTGCCTTTTCTACCCCTCCTTCTAGAAGGTGCTGGACGAGTGCCAGAACCAGCGGGCCTGCCACCTCCTGGTCAATAGCCGTGTCTTTGGACCTGACCTTTGTCCAGGAAGCAGTAAATACCTCCTGGTCTCCTTTAAATGCCAACCTAGTAAGTAACTTCTGAGGGGGGAACAGTGCTTGTGGGGTTGGTTCCCGGTTTCATGGAATCTCCTGATGAAAATTCTCTGCCCCTGGTGTTTATCCAACTCTGAAACCTTGTTAACAGAAACGTTGGGGAGAAAGAGAGACAGAGACAGACAGGCAGAAAGAATGCAGTGTGTTTTTATAAATCCATGAATTTAAAAATCCTTCCCAGTGCATAAAACTCAGTTTGACTGACGCTGAACTATCAGAGGTGAAAAGGAACAGCCATTGATTTTCCTCAAAATGCAGAACTAATTCTGCTTTTTAGAGGCAGTCCTGGTAGGAGGCTGGAGTCCTTGAGGACCGAGACAAGGAAGTCACCAGAGACGACTGCTTCAAATGTTTAGAACTGCCTTCTCTGAATTTTATAGACGGCCAAGACTCTGTTGAGCATTTTCATTCCAAGGAGAATGAGAGAAAAAGTCATGGCCGGAGCAATCTCTCCTATCTGATTCCCGTGCTTTTCTCCACTGACTCTTGCTATTTCTATTGCAAATTGGTTTTGTGATTAACCCTTTATCAGCCAAAAATATAATCCCTGTTCAATGAGTGGGTCATTCTTCCACGCACACAGTGTGTGCCTGAGAAACACCAAGAAGGATTGCGTCCCTAGACTTTCTTAAGTAATCCATTGAAAAAGAAATGATAGCAACAGCATTTAACCAAAACATAAGGTGTGATAATTTTTATAATAATCCCTGGATCCCCATACAATCATTTTCATTTTTTGCACTTTGTTCTCTGTTGGTTCTCTTTCTGGAGCTCAGAATTCCCCAAGACACTGCGGCCTGGGTGCTGGAGGGGAGGAGGCGTAGAGCCACATGTGTGCCACATCTCTAATGCACATCTGGGGAGAACCCTTGGATCCTGCAGACATCCAAGCTTCTCCTAAACCCTGCTAGGACCCAGAAACCTTGGAACCACCCCGTGGCTCTGCCCGGGTACTATGCATGCAAATGCACTCACACATTCACTAATTCACACACATTCACACCCACAACACATCCATGCACGTGCACACACCCAATCACACACTCACCACATGCTCCATTGACACACACATCTTATCATATACACCCCACCCTGCAGCATACACAACGCGATCACACATGCTCACACATACACACTATCATACACACCCTCACACACTCATATACACACAATCACAAATACCCACAAACAGGTCTGAGTATTGCAGAACAGCCAGACCCCGCCCTGTGCTGTGTGCTCCATTACCAGATGCCTTGGAGAATTATAGAAATGTGGGCAAGATCCCCAGTGAGGTTGTATTCCCTCCATTCCCTCTATCTCGAGTCTACAGAGAGTTTTGGTTCTGGTGAGGTCTTAGATCTAGGCAATTCTGGATCTGTTTCCCTTTCTGCTGTGTCTTCTGGGGTCGTGTTCAGGACTCTCTCTGAGGCTCCAGGACTCAATTGTAAAAGAACATAATGCCGCTTCCCCACAGGGCTGTCGTAGAGACTGTAAACAGCGTGGTGCATGTAAAATGCTCAGCACCAGACTTGTCATGAAGGTGAGTGCAGTCACCGGAAGCTCTCATTCAAGTAAGAAGATAGTCACTCTTGGGAAAGATCTGAGTGACCGAGGGCAGTGAGGGGAATGGCCTGGCCTCTCCTGGGTGAGGGAAATGGCAGGGCACACTGTACAGAATTTAAAAACGCAAGTGACCAAATGCTTGTCTGCATTTTAATGTCACCATGTTCTGACTATCGTAAGAAATGCCCGTAATAAGATACTTTTATCATGGCAAATTGTTCCGCTGCCCATCTTTAAAAGGCTATTACTGATAAGTAACTGTACGGATGGTTCCAGACTTAGGATGTTTACATGTAGCTTCATCATGGTGTGAGCGAGATACACATTCAGTAGAAACCACATTTTTTTTTTCTTTTTGGTGCTGGGGATTGAGCCTAGCAAATTTCAAATTTTGATCTCTGCCCAGGCTAGCAGTATGCAGTACGATCCTCTCTTGCAATGCTGAGCTATGGCTGCAAGCCACAGCTCCCAGTCAGTCATCCAGCCACCAGGGGAGATAACCAATACTTTACAGTGTGCTCTGCTGGTAAGCGATGAGGTTAGGTAGATTAGGCATATTAAATGAATTAAATTCTGATTAAAAAACATGATTTCTGTTTAAAAATGATATTATCAACTCATGATGGGTTTATGAGGACATAACCCCATTGCCAGCCGAGGAGCCCCTGTGTGTGTATTATTAAAAGAGATGGGGTGTTCCACACAGCCCTGTAATGGGTAGAATCAGGAGGGAGAATTTCATTCCAGGGTCCTCTATGCAGGGTCACGGCGCTACCTCCCCAAACTCCTGTGCAGCTCCTCACCTACGAGGCAGGAGTGTTGGTGACTCACTTCTGGAAAGTAGCCCTCACCCCTCACTGCAGAGCAAATGAGCCCCAAAGCAAATCCTAATCCTCTAAGAAAAGTAGTAACTATGTTAGTAGTCCTGTTGTCCCTTGGAGCCCTGAAATGCCACTCTTAGGTGAAATAGCACATGCCCAAAGAACCAAGTAACTAAATATAATACAACAGTGACCCCCAGGACATAATGTGACAGGCACAGGCCCCTCCACTTCGAACGATTATTTGCCTGTAATCTGGAGACAGAAATCTCTGGAGGCCTCACGTGAAGGTGCTTTGTTACCTTGGGTGGGTTCTGCTGGCCTCCAGGCTACCTTCAATGAATGGCCTTTGGCAACTCAGAGATGTGGCTAATAGATACATTTCATGATGTGCCTTTTTAAAAAAAAAAAATTCTAATTTTTCAACATTCTGACCAATAAATAAATAGATAAATAAAAATCTAGTCTTATTTAAAAAAATTAAAAAGTTTCCATTTTTGAGATAAAGCTTGGTTTTGTCTTGCCTTTTCCTGCCCTTTTTTGGGGGACATGCTCTGGCCCTGGCAGGCATTCTTCACATGTTCTGGTGTTCTCCTAGTTGGAAGTGGGTGCTTGGCCTCTGGTCTGCATTAAATTCACCCTGGGCCCTTGAAGTCAGAAAAAAATGTCAGTGTTGGTGGGACTTAGCATAATGCATGGAAATCCTCATGCGTTTGTGGAGATGACTCACCCAAAAGACTCAAAGCCTCCAAAGTCAGGGTCAGGGTCAATATGGTTTTTTTATTTAGAAAAAAGGAAATAAGTTTTCCCTGGCTCTAAGTTCAAACTGCTATGCTGTTTCCAATGAGCAGGTAAAGGGCCTTCTACACATTTACCCAGCCACTGGTGCCCTCTGCATGTGGTTCTTCCTAGTGTCAAACTAACAGGCAGGGTGGTGGTTTGGGAACTAGACAGGGTAGGGATTTTGTGCATCTGTAACATGAGTTCTGCTCTGAGCCTTGATTAATCCCGAATGCTCCCATTTTATGTATAGTAGTCCTCCCTTATCCATAGAGAATGTATTCCAAGATCTCCAGTGGATGCCCAAAACCACAGATAATACTCAACCTTGTGTGTACTGTATTTTTCCTGTATATATGCACCTATGAGAAAGTTTAATTTATAAATTAGACACAGTAAGAGATTAACAACAATTAATAATAAAACAGAACAATTATACCAACATACTATAGTAAAATCAATATAACCTTGTGCTTTGGGACCATTATCAAGTGAAATACAAATAATTTGAACACAAGTACTGCAATACAGTGACAATCAATCTGGTAACCAAGACAGCTAGTAAATGACTATCAGGAAGGTAGCACATATCAAGTGGATACACTAAAAAAGGGGGTGATTCATGTCCTGGGTGGGATAGACCCAGGTGGCCAAATATTTCAACATACTACTCACTACTCAGAATAGTACACAATTTAAGATCGATTGTATATCCTCTTCTGAGAAGTGTCTGTTCATGTCCTGGGCCCATTTATTGATTGGGTTATTTGTTTTGGGGGGGAGTCACCGTGAGACCCTGTTTCTAAATAAAATACAAAAAAATAGGGCTAGGGATGTGGCTCAGTGGTCAAGGGCCCCTGAGTTCAATTCCTGGTATCCTCTCCCCCACAAAAAAAAGTGAGTATCAGTTATTATTGTTTATAAGTTAAAGATATTATTAAGTTAGTATAATTTTGTAGCATACAGATCATGCATTTGAGTGCACAGTTTGATGATCTTTAGTATATATCTACCGAGTTTTGCTTCCATGACCACAGTCCAGCTGTAGAACATTTCTACCATCTCAAAACGCTTCCCGTGTCCATTTTCTATTACTCTTTGATGACATCCCCTCAGGAAACCACTCATCTACATCCTGCCCCTGAAGACTTCCCTTTCTGAATATATTGTATACAGGCACATGTCACATAATTACGTTTTGGTCAGTGACAGGCCACCTATATGACAATGGTCCCATAAACTGACCATGGGTCTGGAAAATGCCTATCAACTAGTATTTTTACAGTGCTTTTTCAGTGTGTGGATGTGTTTAGGTGCACACATACTTACCATTGTGTTACGATTGCCTGTGGTGTTCAGGAGAGTAACATACTATTCCAGGTAGCGTAGGTGTGTAGCAGACGGGTACCATCTAGATATGGGGAAGTAACTGTGATGCTCACCCAATGATAAAATTCCCTCGTGACACATTTCTCAGAATTTATTCCTATTGTAAATTAACACACGGTGACTGCACCATAGTACCCCTTCATCCATGGGGAATGTGTTACAAGACCCCCAGTGGATGCCTGAAATATATGTGATTTTTTTCCTTATACATACTTACTATGTAAAGTTTAATTTATAAACAAGGCACAGTAAGAGTTTAACAACAATGATAATAAAACATTTATAGCAATTACTATAATAAAAATTATGGAAATGTAGTCAGTCTTTCTGGAATTTTCCATTGGCTACTTTCAGACTGTGGGTAACTGAAAGCCTAGCAGGCAGGAGCTCGGATGATGTGGGGACAGCTGTAAATGGAACTATAGGTACACAGTCTTTCATATTGGAGTGTTAGCAAATATGTTAAAAATAAAATCATCATTAAAACCTTTCACTAATTGAATGATTTGGGGATATGCTATTAAAAAATAAAGTGTTTTCTTTGCCAGTGGACTTAATAATGTCACTGTATAATATTCAAAGAATTTGTTATGGCAAACAGATAAGCAAACTTTCCCTACCTGGGTTCCTGGTTGTGGAGCAACTCTTTACACTCCCACAAACAGGGATTCTTTACAGACTCAGCACCTTCTTTTGGCCCAGTTTCCTAGCAAAATAATAATAATAATATCATCATAGTAGTAGTAGTAGTTGCTTTTATAGCATCTCTGCTTCTCTTTCGTCTCTGGGGAAGCGGATGGTGGCATTGGCAGTGCGGTTTACCTGGGTGCTTCTCCAGGTGACTCCTGGTCTTTCCCTGTGAGAGTCCCAGGTCCACATTTAAAGGGCCCTGCAGTCAAGGAATCCGTGAGTGGGGAGGGAGCGGCTCCGGGGCGTCGGGGTCTCTGCTCCCTTCACCTGGCGTCTGTTCTTTGCACCTTGGTATCACTCCTGGGGTCTCCCTGCTGTCGGCAGGTCACTTTCCACTGCTTCCTGCAGAGGACTTTGTTTCCCAGGGCCACAGATGCCCTTGGCAGACAGGTCCTGAGCACAGCTCAGGGGACGGGCCGCCAGGACTTGGACAGTGCTCACCGTTCCTGTTGCTGATGGCGTCGCCGGCTTTTGTTTCCACTCCAGATGAACTGAAAAACAAAACCGTGTGTGAAGATCAGGAGCTGAAGCTGCACTGCCATCAATCCAAGTTCCTCAACATCTACTCCGCCACCTACGGCAGGAGGACCCAGGAGAGGGACACCTGCGCCTCCGAAGCCCAGCGGCTGCCCCCCTTCGGTGCGTGCTTTTGTTTGCTTATAGTTAGGTGCTGAGTGGATTAGGGCCCTGGGTCCCCTGGGAAAGACGTCACTGCAGTGGCCAGTATCTGGGTCAGAGGGAAAGTCGAGCAGTTATTGAGTACCTGCTGTATGCAGAGCCCTGTTCTAGGCACCGAGGAGGCATCAGCGACCAACACAATCTGTACACTGATGATCTGACCTTCCAGCAGTGGACGGGCAGGCATGAGAAAGCAGAAAAGAAGGAACTAGTACAGTAGGCTTCACGTCTGTGAGCTCTACTTCTGCGGATTCATTCAATAGGATTGAGATGGAGATTGAAAACATTTGGGGGGAAATTTTTGCCTACACTGAACATGCACACTCCCCCATTCTTATTCTCTAAACAATGATGTAACCCATATTGACATAGTTTTTACATTGCACCAGGTATTATGCATCATCTAGAGATGATCTAAAGCCATGAGAAGATGTGTCTAGGTTGTATGCAAACCCTACACCATTTTCGTTAAGGGGCTTGAGCATGCATGGGGTTTGGCATCTGCAGGGAACCCTGGAACCAATCCCTCATGGATACTGATTGACAACGTTATGTCATATGTCAGGTGCAGATAAGTCTAAGGAGGAAATCACACCAGAGAGGGGAGGTGGAGAAGCAGGGTATGCTATGAAGAGGCGAGAGTTTATGGAGTGAGGTTCACGTGGGGCAGAGATTAGAGAAGATAAAGGAGGGATCCTGCAGACACTTGGAAAGGAGTGTCCAGGTAGAGTGAGGAGCCAGTTCAAGACCTCAAGGCTGTACTTCATCTAGAGTGTTCAGAGCCACTTAGAGGCCTGCTATCTGCAGCTAAGAGATGATGCCCTAGTGCAGTCTGATAGCTCCACTCACCAGAGCCAGCCTGTATTACTAGTCAGAGTCTCTCTGTGTGTGTGTGTGTGTGTGCGCGCGCGCATATTTGGAAAAAGGCGGGAGATTGTGAGCTGGCAAGTCTAAATCTGCAGGGCAGTTTGGCAGGCTGGAAAGCCAAGGGAGAGTTGATGCTGAGGTCTCAAATTCAAATTACTGCAGTCTTGAGAATTCCTTTTTAGAGAAACCTCTCTTTGCCCTTAAGGACTTCAACTGATTACATGAGACCCAACCACCTTAAGGAGGGCAATCTCTCTTACTCCAGATTTAAATTAGTGTACTGATTTAAATGTTAGTCTCATCTTAAAAAATACCTTTACTGCAGCGCTACACTGATTTTTAACCAAACAACTGGATAGTGAATATTGATGCATAAAATTAGCCATCAAATTCCAGCCTGTGGTAGTAAAAAAGCTTCATGTCTCTCTACTGCATTACTAGTGAGAGCAGGCCCAGCCGTGAGATAGATGAAGAGTCACGCTTGTTGATCAGCTTCTAAAGTGAGCCCTTGATGTATTAAATTGTTATGATTTATTCATGAATGGCACGTGAAATTAGGAATAAATTTGTGTCTCAGGAGTACCTTGGACCTAAAAATGAAAAGTAATTGGCCTGACTGTATGGGTGAACATGCAGGTGACTCAATAGAGAACCAGGTCACCAGGATCATGTGCCACACCCATGATGGCACGGGCGTGGTCAGGGTTCAGGAGCTGACATTTACTCTGTTGGGAGCTACTAAGAGGGTGGAACCCTTATCTGACCCTGGTGCTTAAAGCTGGGCCCTTGAGGAGGTGATGAGGATTGGATTAGGTCCTCCCAGGAGAGTTCCTCTGGTAGAATATTGGTGACTTTAAAAGAAGAGAATCCAGGAGAGACACACATATGCTCTCTGTTTGTTGCTCTCTCACGCCCTGCTCTACCTCAGGACTCTGTCAGTGGGAGGCTTCACTAAGCCAGGTAGAATAGCCCACGCCTGTAATCCCAGCTGCTCAAGAGACTGAAGCAGGAGGATCATAAGTCCAAGGCCAGCCTCAACAACTTATTAAGACCCTGTCTCAAAAATTAAGAAAGGATTGGAAGTGCAATTCAGTGGTAGAGTACTTGCCCAGCATATGCAAGACCCTGGGTTCTATCTATCCTCAGTACCACACACATAGAAAGAAGGCCATCGCCAGATGCAGGTCCTTGACCTAAAACCAGAACCTCTTTCCTTTATAACGTTACCCAGCTCGGATGTTTTATTGTAGTAAAAACACACAAACTAATATAGAAAATTGGTACTAGGAATGTCATTACCATAACTAGGAATGGGTCATTACTATAACTAGACTCAAAAATGTGAAGTGACTTTGGAGCTGAGTAACAGTCAGAGATTGGAAGAGGCTGAAGGAGCAAGCTAGAAATGTGCTACTATACATAAGAAGAGCACTATCGGAAAGTCTGGTGAGGGCTCAGGAGACTAGGGATCAGTCTGAGATGGAAACAAGGATCTTCTTGGAGACTGAAGAAAAGGTCACCCTTGTTATGAAAGAGTAAAGACCCTGACTTCATTGTGCACGTGCCCTAAGGCTTTGTGAAAGCCAATGGTGACGGACTAGTTCACTTAACAGAGGAGATGTCAAAAGGACAAAGCGTTTACATTGTGTCCTGGGCACTGTGGGCTGCTTTTGGTCAGACTGACTGTGAGAGTCAAAAGGAAAGAGAATGGAAAGGGTAGGAATCAACACACAGCTTGGCCAAGGAAGGAGCTAAGAAAAGCAGGTGAGGGTCCTGACCAAGAAACCCCTTGCAGGATTAGTGAGGATAAAAGCAAGCTAGGGCTTCACACCAGGATGGGAAACAGGAGCCCGGGCCATCCAGAGAGGCTGCCCTCCCCTCGCAGGCCCAGAGACCTTCCAGGGCAGCAGTATGTCAGGAAAGGGGCTCAGACACCCTCCAGGGGCACAGCCCAAGACGGCACTCTGCCAGCGTGGCCCAGGCTGGCGGCTGCTGGTGCTGAGCTGACCCTGGTGCTGAGTGTGCAGAATGCAAGAGCCGCTGAGATTTGAAAGGAGAGCCAGAGGGCCTGGAGGAAGTTAGCCATGGGTGGGGGCCTGCAGAGAGCCATAGGACTGGAGGCTCACTGGGGACCCCAGCCCCAGTAACGTGCAGCTCCCATTGCGGGAAACTGCATGAGAGAGTAATCACGGCTGCAGCTGCAAAGCCACACGAAAGCCTTGGGAACTCACCCCTCCCTGTAGTGTGCGTGGGATGCTGAACTTGGAGCTTTGGGATTTAACATGTTACTCTTCCCTGGGGCAGCTTCCTCTTTCTACTTCCCTATTTCTCTCTTTACGGATAGGAATGTTTCCCCACCCCCAGCCTGGCCTGCCCTGGTATCTCGGAAGGAGAGGACTTGTTTTTATCGACAGGCTTACAGCTGCAGGAGTCTGCCTTGAGTCTCAGATGAGGCTCTGGACTTTTGAAATAATCCTGGGATAAGTTGAGACTATGAGACTGTTGGAGATGGAGCGATTGTCACTTAGGTTATGAAGACAGGAGGTTTAGAGGTCAGGGGGTAGAATGCTAGGGCCTGGGTGTGGTGTAAGTGTGTCCCCGTGGGTTCACACGCTGGCATTTAATCCCTCCTGGAAGGTGTTAAAAGGAAATTTAATCTGATTATGGGTGTTTCCAAGTGGAGCCTCAGGCACCAGGCGTGGTGGTGCAGGCCTAATCCCAACTGCTTGGGAGGCTGTGGCAGGAGAATCACAAGTCTGAGACCAGTCTGGGCAGCTCTGGGAGTCCCTGTCTCAAAAAGCAAAAAGGGCTGGGAATGTAGCTCAGTGATAAAGTGCCCCTGGGTTTAATCCCCAATTCTATAAAAAAAAAAAAAAAAAGGTGGGCCTTTAGGAGGTGATAGGATTAGATAAATTCATCCCAGTGGACCAGTGGAGTCTATGATTGAGTACTGGTGGCCTTAAGAGCAGAAAGTGAAAGTCCAGAAGAGACACACACATATACTGTCCCCATCTCTGGCCTATTGATGCCCTCACCTGCCTCAGGACTCTGTCAGAAAGAGGACTATCACAAGATGTGGGCCCTTGACTTTGGACAAGAACTGTGAGCCTCATAAACCTCTTTTCTTTACAATGTCATTCAGTCTCAGATATTTTGTTATAGTAAATAAAAATGGACTAATATAGGCCCATACCCAGTGTTGGGAGAAAGCTGCTCTGTTGAGAAGGTGGAGATCTGTTAAAAGGCCACTCTGGAAGATCCCCAAAGGCAGGCAGGCATGGTCATCCAGCTGCTCTGAAGTAGATCTGGGGGACAGGGCTCCTGTCTTCCAGGTGTGACTGTCAAATGAGCAGAGAGGCACATGTGAGGGGGTTCTCCACTGGCTGCTAACGGCACTCTCCTCTGCTCCGTTCCCCTGAGTGACCTGAGAGTTCCTGAATCTCCATTCTCCCTCTCAAATTACACCTGCTCATGTTTGGACAGAAGCCATTGGTTTCTTTGTGTTCAGGGTCCCCACACTTTCTGCCTTCTCCCTGCTACTGTCTTAGGTGAGGGGACCATTGCCTGGGCCATTGTAGGCATCTCCCTACTCTGGGCTGGCCTTTCTCCCCAGGGAGGCCAGAGGCACCCTCCCATCTCCTTATGTGATCTGAATTCCTTGGTTAAATAAGAAGCTCTTGGATCTAACCTCTTTCTGCAGAACAGGACTTCATTCTTTTTTTTTATTAACTGCTAACCTTTTTATTATTCAAGCGAGTTTCCTAAAAGGGCACTCGTGGGGTCCTGTAGGGCACCACAGGCTCTGTTTCTTCTGTATTAGGGGCTCTGCATTCTTCAGTGCTCCCCCAACCCCACAGCAATATAGGGGAAGGGCACCACTTCTCAGGCTCACTGGGTCTAACTTGGCTGCGTGTGTTTGGGGAAGCAGCAATAAGAGATTGTCTCAGCTGCTCTTCTGGGAAAAGTTCCTTCAGCCAAGTAAGATCTGTCAGCTGAAGGATTTAAATTCAGTAGGTTGCTGCCTTATGTTCCTGGAAGGTGGATGGGACCTGGGTTCAATTTCTTTGGAAACGTAATTAGTCCAATGAAGTATT